TGCTCCCCCCCAGCCCGGGGGCCCCCGGCGCGGCCCAGCCGCACTACGCCACTACCATCCTGAACATTGCCTGCGGCACCGGCTCTTTTGGTTGCTTGCCGCATCACGTGGTAAGGAATGCCAGCCAAGCAGCACCCGCCTCCTTCATGCAAGGGACACTGCGCTGGACTGCCACAGCAGCTCCTTCCGTTTTCCAAGGCACGGCACCGGGGTCCCCAGCCATTAGCGCAACAACGGCAGTGTTACAGAACAGAACAGACCGCAATGCGACTGCCCTCCTGCCGCCAAGTGATTCTGAAACCGGCCCCCAATCTACGGCAGCGCAGAGAGGCAAAATGGCAGCACATTTTGGGGGTCGACTGCAGCCTACCAAGGGTGCAAAAGAAATCCACCCGCACAGGAAATTCAACAGGCCACACAGTTGGGCTCCTTTTCCAATTAGTCATTTCCATACCTTCTCCCAGCGGCGCAGGCCACAGGCTGCCCACCCCAATGCGCTGCCGAGCTTGGAAGGAGTTTACATTCACAACAAGGCTGTGGAGAGCGTCCGACAGGAGCCGGGACTACTCAAATGAGCAAGTTTAAACATCTCCACTCGGCCTGCTGAGAGACCAACCCCCCTCCATCTAATTACACGGATGGGATGGCAGAGCATAGTCAGGAGAGCCAGCAGGCCGTAAACATCTGGCCACAAGCGTAATCCCCTGCTGATATTTCACTGGAACCCTTTATATTCACCTACAAGCCAGTGTAAACCCGGCTTGACACACCAGATTACATTGCAGAGCCGGGACTACCAGCATGCAGGCCAGGTGACAGTGCCTGTGGTTCCTCATGGGCCTGTCCGCAGCGCAAGCTCGGCTAGAAAGCAGGCCCCAGGCCTTCAGCCCCGTCTCCACAGCTGCTGAGCCAGCCTTCGCCCTTGTGCTGGGAGTGACTCAGTATGTTCCATTCACAAGGGGATCTGGACTCTGGGACAAGTGAATTTCATCTTAACCCCACACAGAGCTCCCCCTACATTAGGGCTACTCAACTTTGGAAGCCCCGGGGGCTACAATGATAAGCTGCTGCCCTTGGCATGTGCTGTGGGTAAGTGTGGTTGCATATACATGCAAATAGATATGCAAATATATGCAAATAGCTTCACACTGATGGGCATGAATACAAAGATTAAGGCAAGACTACACAACACACAGGCCGCATTTAAGTCAGTTCTGCTGATATTAACATGCAATATTTACCCGATTTCCATCCATAGGACAGCACTTCCAACGAGCAATGACAGTCCAGGGATGGAAACGCATCCCACCAGAAGACCGGGATACTGACTGCTTTTTTGTTTTGGCTCCCACCCGTGGGCCACGTTGCGCCCTGCGTAAACCCAACCCGCCCCGCGGGCCACCCGTTGCTCCCTGCGTAACCCCAAGCCGCCCCGCGGGCCACCCGTTGCTCCCTGCGTAACCCCAAGCCGCCCCGCGGGCCACCCGTTGCTCCCTGCGTAACCCCAAGCCGCCCCGCGGGCCACCCGTTGCTCCCTGCGTAACCCCAAGCCGCCCCGCGGGCCACCCGTTGCTCCCTGCGTAACCCCAAGCCGCCCCGCGGGCCACCCGTTGCTCCCTGCGTAACCCCAAGCCGCCCCGCGGGCCACCCGTTGCTCCCTGCGTAACCCCAAGCCGCCCCGCGGGCCACCCGTTGCTCCCTGCGTAACCCCAAGCCGCCCCGCGGGCCACCCGTTGCTCCCTGCGTAACCCCAAGCCGCCCCGCGGGCCACCCGTTGCTCCCTGCGTAACCCCAAGCCGCCCCGCGGGCCACCCGTTGCTCCCTGCGTAACCCCAAGCCGCCCCGCGGGCCACCCGTTGCTCCCTGCGTAACCCCAAGCCGCCCCGCGGGCCACCCGTTGCTCCCTGCGTAACCCCAAGCCGCCCCGCGGGCCACCCGTTGCTCCCTGCGTAACCCCAAGCCGCCCCGCGGGCCACACGTTGCTCCCGGCGTAAACCCAAACCGCCCCGCGGGCCCCGTGTTGAATAGTCCTGCCCCACACTCAGCCAGTCACGCGCTCGATTCAAATCCCTTCTTCTACACTTGTGCCTAGACTGTAAAAAGACAAAGAATGTAGACATGACCTGGCCACCGGTCAGCCAGCTGACTGCGGTTCCTGGGTGCTCAGTCTAAGAGACCACAGGCCTGGGGGCAAGTCTCTCTCGGTTCCTACTCGATCCTCCTTGCAGGAAGCACCGTCATGTTCCTGTGACATTCCAACATTTACTGGGGCTGGAAAGAAGGGGAGGTGGCTACAGCTCGGAGCAGAGCTGTGTTTCTCCGTGGCCACGCTGCAGCCCATGGCTGAGCTGGAGTGAATAACAGTTGGTGTTTTTCTCCAGCTTTCACACCCAGGTGGAACTGCTGAGGGCGCTCCAGGCTGCTCGCTGCTGGCTTTGAGGCGTGTGTGTGTGTATGTGCAGGCTCACACTTTTCTTGCTCTGCCGGAGATAGGAAGCATCACAGCACCAGGCTGCCTGTCGGTGTTTGAGCTGGAAGCCGGACTCAGACAAGAGCCATTACACGTTCATCTCGCACTAGGAGGCTCCCTTGGTGCCGGAACATGGCTCTTCCCTGGCAGGAGCGAAGGAAATTTGGTAGAGGAAACTGTGCTGACATCCAGGCTGTGACCTAATGGGGTAAATCAGGACAGCAACTTGCCCATGGATGCCAGCAGCAGGAGGACAGCACAGCGAGCAGACAGAACAGCCCATGGGCAGGTCTTACAGGAAATCTGTAGGGAATGAAGTAACGGAGAGAAGCAGCTGTGGCCAGTAAGAGTCAGCACAAGAGATGCCCATCAGGCTATCACAACTGGGAGTCACAGACATGGGATCGGCCTGAACGCCCGTGTTCTAGGCTCCCTCACTGGTCTGCTCCATTCCAGTCCCAACGTGTGATATTTCTGTCTCCTGTGTGATAAGGTGACAGGTCTAGAGCTGGGAAGGTTAGAAGGGAAAGGCTCCCCTCCCCCACTCTAAGACTGTTAAAGGGCAGGTAATTCTCTGAACAAAAGGATTAGACAAGCCTAATGCACAAAGGCATTTTCAAAGATGGGGGATATTTTAAGGGTTTTAACTCCTCCTGGCAGTGCTGGAAACAGCAGCACCACTCTAGCACGCAGGCCTGGCCAGTCTTGCTGAATGAAATGCACAGAGGAAGCAAACAGCCCCAAGAATGAAGAAATAAGTACAACAGAGAGCGTTCGCAGTCTAGATAATCTAAGCAGTGCGCCATATGAGAGCGCCCTCCAAGTCACCACCCTAGCAGGTCACACAGCCCATCATATGCACACACAGATGGGCCCCCTCTGGCACATTAGCCATTTCATATCTTTAACTGAAGGAGGAGTCGTGTGTGTGTGTGTGTGTGTGTGTGTGAGAGAGTGAGACAGAGAGAGAGACAGAGAGAGAGAAAGAAAGACAGAAAGACAGAAAGAAAGAAACTAACCGGACCTCATTTGAGTAGGCTCCCTGGCGGCTCCTGAGGCCTGGTGTTCACCTGACACTGTGGCTCAGGGATGTGAATTGTTCGTGCTTGTGAGACACAGCTAAGCCAACCTAAGCCCAGGCACAGACACCTCTCTACCAGAAGAGCCCTTCTGTTGACCTGCTCCTGGCTTCTGCAGGTGGTAGGTTCATTGCCGCAATGGAAAAGCCTTTTCTGTCACTGCAGCAAGGTCTACACAATGGCAACATAACAGGCCGCTGCAGTGACTGCCGCATACACAAGGCCTCAGTCTGATGTTGACAGCGTCCCCAAAGTAAACTGGCCAAGATGTGCAAGATGGCTCCTGTTACCTACTAGCTGGAAGCCAGATGTTGGCACATACAGTAACTACAACAACCCAACCACAGCTCGCACTGTTGTGTGCCAGCCATAGTCCCCTGCTGCAGCCGCAGATGGCTGTATCCCATTTGACTGTTCCTGCGGGAGTGTAGGCCTGTCTCCTGGCTCACAATGAGCTGACTGTGGCTCAGCTGGGGATAGGCACGTAGGTTTTACCTACTATGATTTTGGCCGTGTACGTTCATGGGGGGACTCTGACTCTCGCCCGCTGCACTGTGTTTAGAGGAAACCATTAGGAGAAGGCTAGATAAGACGACAGAAAATATCATAGTGCCACTGCATGCATCAATGGTATGGCTGCACCTGGCACACTGGATACAGTTCTGCTCCTCCCATCTCAACCAGAGACCCCGTTGGAAAAAGCATGGAGGAGAGCAACATAAGTCAGTCAGGGATATGGAACGGCTGCGATATGAGGAGAGATTGGACTGTTCAGCGTGGAAAAGAGAGGACTATGGGATGGGGTGGGGGAACAGATCTCTGAAGTCATGGCTGCTGTGGAGAATGCCAACAGGGAAATAGTATTTACTAGGGATATAAAATCCTGTTTAATTAGTTAACCAATTAAATGGGGGGGGGACGGCAAGCAGGGGTTGCTCCAGTCTGGCTGCTTCTGACCCCATGTTGGGCTGCTTTTTGGGTGTCAGCAATGACCATGGGGGGGAAGGGGAGGGCTGCTGGCTCCTGGACTGCATGGGCTTGCAGGTGGAGAGTCAGCAGCCTCATGTGGGGAGGAAGTGGCAGTCAGGAAGGGGGGGGGGGGAGGGGGAATGAAAGCAGCTGTACTCCCACACGCGGGCTGGGAGCCAGAAGCCCCTCTGCCCACCGCAGACCACAGGTGGGAGCTGCTCCTGGGTAACAGTTAACTGTTACCTGTTAAGCATCATCCATTAAACTAGTTTATCAATAAACTAGGCAAATATAACTTAGACGGGGCTACTATAAGGTGGGTGCATAACTGGCTGGATAACCGTACTCAGAGTAGTTATTAATGGTTCACAATCCTGCTGGAAAGGCAGAACAAGTGGGGTTTCGCAGGGGTCTGTTTGGGACCAGCTCTGTTCAATATCTTCATCAACGATTTAGATATTGGCATAGAAAGGACGCTTAGTAAGTTTGCAGATGATCCCAAGCTGGGAGGGGTTGCAACTGCTTTGGAGGATAGAGTCATAATTCAACATGATCTGGACAAATTGGAGAAATGGTCAGAGGTAAACAGGATGAAGTTTAATAAAGATAAATGCAAAGTGCTCCACTTAGGAAGGAACAATCAGTTTCACACATACAGAATGGGAAGCGACTGTCTAGGAAGGAGTACGGCAGAAAGGGATCTAGGGGTCATAGTGGACCACAAGCTGAATATGAGTCAGCAGTGTGATGCTGTTGCAAAAAAAGCAAACATGATTCTGGAATGCATTAACAGGTGTGTTGTGAGCAAGACATGAGAAGCCATTCTTCCGCTCTACTCTGCGCTGGTTAGACCTCAGTTGGAGTCTTGTGTCCAGTTCTGGGCACCGCATTTCAAGAAAGATGTGGAGAAATTGGAGAGGGTCCAGAGAAGAGCGAGAAGAATGATTAAAGGTCTCAAGAACATGACCTATGAGGGAAGGCTGAAAGAATTGGGTTTGTTTAGTTTAGAAAAGAGAAGATTGAGGGGGGTCATGAGAGCCGTTTTCAGGTATCTAAAAGGGTGTCATAAGGAGGAGGGAGAAAACGTGTTCATCTTGGCCTCTGAGGCTAGAACAAGAAGCAATGGGCTTAAACTGCAGCAAGGGAGGTTTAGGTTGGACACTAGGGAAAAGTTCCTAACTGTCAGGGTAGTTAAACACTGGAATAAATTGGCCAGGGAGGTTGTGGAATCCCCATCTGTGGAGATATTTAAGAGCAGGTTAGATAAATGTCTATCAGGGATGGTCTAGACAGTATTTGGTTCTGCCATGGGGACAGGGGACTGGACTCAACCTCTCGAGGTCCCTTCCAGTCTTAGTACTCTATGATTCTAAGGGTGACGCTTGCCGGTTAACCGTGCACATCCCTAGTATTTACCCTTCACAACACAAGAACCAGGAGTCACCCACTGAAATGAATAGGCAACGGGTTTAAAACGAACATGAGGCAGTATTTCCCCACCCAACAGTCACAGCGTGGACCTGCCTGTCAAGGGATGGTGTGAAGGCCCAAACTATAACCGGATACAATAAAGAGCTAGGTAATTCACGGGGCATAGGTCCCTCTATGGCTGTTAGCCAAGATGGGGAGGGACACACCGCCACACCCTGGGTGTCCTACATCACTGGCTGTCAGACGCTGGGCCTGCATGATGGGGGGGATGGGAATTGCCCTGTTCTGTCCGTTCTCCCCGAGTCATCTGGCACCAGCCACTGCTGGAAGACAGGCTGCTGGGCTGGGTGGCCTACTGGCCCGGTGAGGAGGACAGTACCACACCCTGTTGCACAGAGCCCTGGAAGCTGCAGAAGCCTGTCCAGAAAGGAGGATTAACAAAGTGACGCTGGTTCAGAGAACCTGGCTCCTACTTTCCCATCTGAATTGGCAGGAGTCAGACTCACCGTAGTGTTCAGCAGAAACACACTGTCTGCCCAGTCACTGCCCTTTTGACACACATCTCCAAGTCAGCTGGGCCGTGCCAGGCCCCTTCTAGCTGGGCTGCCATCAGCATCTCCCAGCTGCCTGGGGCAGCTGTACCAACCCCCAGGCTGCAGCAGCCATTGCATGCTCCAACCCGCCATGCAGTCTGCTGGACCTCAGCACGCTCGATGCAATGGAGGCAGTAGCAGCATTACAAGGCCCTCAAGGAAGGGAAGGCCCACAATGCATTGCCCACAATGCAGTCAGAGAATCCCAGCAGCTGTCGCCCAGGCCGATTCCTCAGCCATTGCATTAGGCATCACCTACCAGAGAAATCAAACAGGAACCCGGGCTTCCACCTCTCCAGCAGGAGCATCCCCAGCAGGGAGACGCTGAGGAGAAACACGGGTCGCAGGGAAGTGGAGGAAAACAACCTGGGAAACCAAGGAGAGAGGCATTAGCTGGCGCACTGGGAGGAACGCTGCGAGCCCCTTGTACCAAGATGACTCTAACTGATGCTTTGCGGGCAGTCGGATACTGCTCAGGGTCCAAGACAGATGTGCTTTTCTCATCTAGGGTGGGAGACTTGAGTGCTGCAGTCAAGGCAAGTTGGCGTCTCATCTGGATCGATCCAAGCCTGGGCATGAAATCCCTGCTCTGCCACTGACTCTACCCGTCCCGTGCTGTGTAGTAAGGACCGTGCGTACAGCCGCACAAGTACAAACCCTCACAGCACTGCATACAGTAAATGCAAACGGTTGTGAGTGACTCCTTAGCGGGGCGCTGGGGGGGAGGCCAACCCAGCTTTGAGAAGAGCTACAGTGACAGAGGATAGACACATTTCTAACACGCACCCCCCGCCGCAGACAACATCAGATGGCGACAGAAACCAATCTGCTTCCAAACATCGTTTGGGATGTTCCCTCTCCCCCAGTTATCACAGTGTGGGTCACACGCAGAATGTGGCCCTACCACTCAGCTGATGGAAGACCCTGGCTTCCAAGCCATCTCCGTCTACCTCTGGGATGCTCTGGCCCGTGAGCAACAAGCCCAGAAGCCCTTGCTCACCGCCGGCTAGAGGGGCCTTCTCCTCAAGGCAAGAATCAACACTTTAAAAATTTCAACAGCAAAAGGTGCTCACGAAACATGTGTCACCCCCAATTCCAACCCCATTCTTCTTGGCCCCCCCTCGCAGCAAGCAAAGAAAGGTTAACGTCTCCTTTGTCAGGAAGAGACACACTAAATGCCCTCCAGAGCCCACCAACCCCATCTTTACACCAGCCGAGGAACGAAGAGGGAGCGATGCACTCCTGGCCCTCTATGCTGTCAGTGCTCGCAGCTCAGGGAGCAAGGAACCCCCCTGAATCCTCCGCCTCGCTACAAACACTTACCAAAAGACCAGTTTCAAACAGCAAGGGGTCCTGTAGCACCTTCAAGACTATCAGATTTCTTTGGGAACGAGCTTTTGTGGGTACAACCCACTTCACCTCAGAGATGGGGAGATATAAATGTACAAGCATAGCAAAGGAAGGGAGTGACTTATCAAGTGTAGGGTCAGTGTTAACAAGGCCAATTCAGTCAGGGTGGATGTGGCTGACAGACAGCATCAGATGGTGGGGAGGTATGAATACCACGAGGGGGGAAAACTGCCTTTGTAGGGAGCTAGCCATTCTAAGTCCTTATGCAGTCCTAATTTGGTCTGTTAAATCTGCAAATGAATCGCAGCTCTGCTGTTCCTCTCTGATCTGGGCTGGAAGTTTTTGGTAGAAGGATGGCTACTTTTAAACTGGTTCCTGAGCGTTCAGTGAAGTTTCTGTTCTATGATTTTCTTACCTTACCTGTCTCAATGTCTGATTTGTGCCCATTTATCCTTTGCTCAATATCCACGGCAGATGACATTAGTAGACATGCAGGTGGCCAAGCCCCTGAAGGAGTGGCTGATGTGCTTAGGTCCTGTCACGGTGCCACTTGCATAGATGTGTGGACAGAGTTCACAACAGGGTTTGTCGCAGGGGTAGGTTCTGGGTTAGTGCTTCTGTGGTGCGTTGGGTGGCTGCTGGTCAGTATTTGCTTCAGGTTGGGAGGCGGTCTCTAGGCAAGGACTGGCCCGTCTCCCAAGGCCTGTGAGAGGGATATTCCAGGATAGGTTGAAGATTGTCAATGACGCAGAGGAGGGATTTTACCTGGGGGCTGTAGGTGGAGTTCCGTTACTTTCCTTGTTGGGCATGTCCTGTAGTAGGTGGCTTCTGGGTACTTGTCTGGCTGTGTCATAACTTAGAACGGTTATTGCACTACATAGGAAAATTTCCTCTCTTGATAAATTACTCCCTTTTTTTGGCATGCTAGTACATCTCTCTCCCCATGCAGCCGATGAAGTGGTTTTTACCCATGAAAGCTTATGTCCAAAAAAATCTATTAGTCTTTAAGGTGCCACAGGACCCCTTGTTGTTTTTACAGATACAGACCAACAGGACTACTCCTCTGAGACAACCGTGAACAGTGAAGGGCAACAGGAACACTGACTAGAGAACCAGGAGCTGAGTGCCAGGACACACAATAAGAAGTTAGGGAGCTCAGAAGAGTTTAGGTCTACCAAGGGCCATGCTGCCCTTTCCCTTCAGTGGGGCCAGAACTGTTCCCACCTCTTCCTCCGGGGTGACAATTCCACAGCCAAACCCACACCAGCTCGGGACGTTTTTCTTACTGTTCACCCTAAGTGTCTCTTTTCTGATTTTCAGCTCCATCTCCAATACAGCTTCTGAGGCTGTTCTCAGTCCCTCCCCCACCCATAGCCCTTAAACCCTTCTGCGTACAATGTACTCATGTCCCACACCCCATTTTAATCCATTGTAATTGTTGCTTAGCCAAGCTAGACACATTTAGCTCCTTTAATCTTTTCTCATACATCATTCTCCCAAACACACCAGCCTCCCGGCATTGCTCCAGCTTTCAAGCACTTTGGATTTTCCCTCTATATTCAGCACATTAGTTCATAGTCATTTAAAGTCCATTCACATTACACGAGTTTCTAACTGGGTAATTTCAAGGAAGGAGTAACAATAATAAAAGGTGACTTAAATAGGTGTTTGGTCAAGTCCCCTTTTTCTTTCCACAATTTTAGATTCAATTGTTCATTATTTCCGCATCTAAACAAAATAAGATTTTCTGACCAATTGCGTGCCCCTTTCTGTTTGGAAATCAGACAGAACATTGCGCCAATAAAACTGACTCATTGTTTACACAAACAAACAGGACATGCGCAGCCTGGTTCTGCCACTCCCCCTTCACACTTGTTAACACTACGGTTGGGGGGCTGGAAGGAGTGAGGCACACAGGTCAGGATAAAAGGACAAACACAGACCAGCAACAGGCCTAGCAAGAGCTCAGGTCCCCACCGCTGAGGTCATTAGTGGAGGGGCCTAGGAGGTACGCAGAGCCTCCGTCCAGCCCAGAACATTACTAGGGTTACCAACCTGCCATGACCGTGACATTAAGCACGTTAATATAGCGAGGACAAAGAACTGAGCTAGAAACACGCTTGGGCGAGGCTCCAATTATCTACAGCTGCCAGCAGGAGCACGCACTTCATTATCACAGGCCAAATCCCATAGAACCTCTTGGCACCTCCCTGGCAGCAGGGAGAAGCCTGTTTGTGCTTGTCAAAGGAAAACGACAAGGTTACTCCAGACTACGCACAACCCGTATAGTTCTATGCGGCAGACTGTGGCTGACCTCATCTGCAGCCCATGGGCCAGGGGGCACTCGACAGACAGAACATCAGAGGCCCCCTTGGACAAGATGGTGTGCTGCTTGCTGGGACCCCTACCTCCTATGGCTTGTACCTTCATAGCCAGAACAGAAGCAATGGACCCTTTTATGCACATTAGATGCGTTAATGTTACTCTTCTGGGATGAGCTCATTGGGATGTTCCCACAACGAGGGGTACGAACTGATGCTCCAGCCTCCCTTCCTGTACCATTGATTTTTACAGGCTCCCACATTAGGTACATTCCCACTGGGAGCATATAGTGCACTTCTCTGGCTGCTTTGGAGATTAACTGAAAAATGGCACTCAACAGCTATCGAATACGTCCAGCATGGGCAGAGACAAGAGGCTTGAATTTGGGCCTTTTCCAGATACTGTTGAGAATTATAGCTCTCAGAAAGGCGAGACTGTCGGAGGCAAAGCAATGCAAGTTCTCACCCTCCCACTCTCCCAGCACCTCTCCATCCTGACCCACAACCACCACCCATTAATTCTGGAGTCCTCAAGACAGCTTTGCCAAGGCACCTCAACTCTGACCAGCAGCAGCCTCCATGACCACAGTCCTGGGTCATTCCTCAAGGCAGGATCAAGCTCTGTCTACACCATCCCTGACAGATGTCTATCTAACCTGTTCTTAAATATCTCCAGAGAGGGAGATTCCACCACCTCCCTTGGCAATTTATTCCAATATTTGACCACCCTGACAGTTAGGAATTTTTTCCTAATGTCCAATCTAAACCTCCCCTGCTGCACTTTAAGCCCATTACTCCTTGTCCTGTCCTCAGAAACCAAGAGGAACAAATTTTCTCCTTCCTCCTTGTGACACCCTTTTAGATATTTGAAAACCGCTATCATGTCCCCCCTTAATCTTCTTTTTTCCAAACTAAACAAGCCCAGTTCATGAAGCCTGGCTTCATAGGTCATGTTCTCTAAACCTTTAATCATTCTTGTTGCTCTTCTCTGTACCCTTTCCAATTTCTCCACATCTTTCTTGAAATGTGGCGCCCAGAACTGGACACAGTACTCCAGCTGAGGCCTAACTAGTGCAGAGTAGAGCGGCAGAATGACTTCACGAGTTTTGCTTACAACACACCTGTTGATACAACCTAGAATCATATTTGCTTTTTTTGCAACAGCATCACACTGTTGACTCATATTCAACTTGTGGTCCACTATGACCCCTAGATCCCTTTCCGCCATGCTCCTTCCTAGACAGTCGCTTCCCATCTTGTATGTATGGAACTGATTGTTCCTTCCTAAGTGGAGCACTTTGCATTTCTCTTTATTAAACCTCATCCTGTTTACCTCTGACCATTTCTCTAACTTGCTAAGGTCATTTTGAATTATGTCCCTATCCTCCAAAGAAGTTGCAACCCCACCCAGTTTGGTATCATCTGCAAACTTAATAAGCGTACTCTCTATCCCAATATCTACATCATTGATGAAGATATTGAACAGTACGGGTCCCAAAACAGACCCTTGAGGAACTCCACTTGTTATCCCTTTCCAGCAGGATTTAGAACCGTTAACAACAACTCTCTGACTACGGTTATCCAGCCAATTATGCACCCACCTTATCGTGGCCCTATCTAAGTTATATTTGCCTAGTTTATCAATAAGAATATCATGCGAGACCGTATCAAATGCCTTACTAAAGTCTAGGTATATGACATCCACCGCTTCTCCCTTATCCACAAGGCTCGTTATCTTATCAAAGAAAGCTATCAGATTAGTTTGGCATGACTTGTTCTTCACAAACCCATGCTGGCTATTCCCTATCACTTTATTACCTTCCAAGTGTTTGCATATGATTTCCTTAATTACCTGCTCCATTATCTTCCCTGGGACAGACGTTAAACTGACCGGTCTGTAGTTTCCTGGGTTGTTCTTATTCCCCTTTTTATAGATGGGCACAATATTTGCCCTTTTCCAGTCTTCTGGAATTTCCCCTGTCTGCCATGATTTTTCAAAAATCATAGCTAAAGGCTCAGATAGCTCCTCTATCAGCTCCTTGAGTATCCTGGGATGCATTTCATCAGGACCTGGTGACTTGCTGACCTCTAACTTTCCTAAGTGATTTTTAACTTGTTCTTTGTGTATCCTATCTTCTAAACTTACCCTCTCTCTGCTTGTATTCACTACGTTAGGCACACCTCCAGACTTCTCGGTGAAGACCGAAACAAAGAAGTCATTGAGCATCTCCGCCATTTCCAAGTTTCCTGTTACTGCTTCTCCCTCCTCACTAAGCAGTGGGCTTACCCTGTCCTTGGTCTTCCTCTTGCTTTTAATGTATTTATAAAAAGTCTTCTTGTTTCCCTTTATGCCTGTAGCTAGTTTCTGAAGATGCTGCTAACGCTGCTAGGCATGGCAATGGTTTGTGTGTGGACCAACACTTACCATGGCAGTAGCCCATTTTCAATTCCCTTTACATGTCTCCCCTCAGTGTGTAAACACCTGCATTCACAATGGTTTTCAAGCATTACACTTCGCCCGTTGTTCTTTGGGTAAGGATAAAGGGGAGATTAAAAAAAGGGTGATGTCATGGTAGAGGCCTACTACACACCCGGATGAGGCTCTTTTTGAACTAGCAAAATCATCCAAAGCACAGGATTTAGTAGTGATGAGGGACTTCAACTATCCAAACATCTGCTAGGAAAACAACACTGCAGGGCATAGATTGTCCAATGAGTTCTTGGAATGTCCTGGAGACTATTTTTTATTTCAGAAGGTGGAGAGAGAAGGCTGATCTAGATTTGATTCTAACAAATAGGGAGGACTGGTTGAGAATCTGAAGTGATTCGAAATGGCAGGAGGGAGAATAGCCAAATAAAAGCAATGGATTTCAAGAAGACAGACTAACAAAATCAAGCAATTGGTAAGGTAAGGTCCCATTGTAAGGAAAAACAGGACTGTGTAGAACTTTAAAGACTAACAAGATGGTTTAATAGGTGATGAGCTTTTGTGGGCCAGACCCACTTCCTCAGATCACTTCTACCACTATTCTACATTGCAAGGAAGTCTAAGAGAAAAAACAATTGAAGACAGTTGCCAGTTTTTCAAACAGACATTATTAAGAATGCAAGAACAAACTATTCCATTGTGTAGCAAAAATAGGAAGTATGGCAAGAGACCGCCCTGACTTAACCAGATCTTCAATAATCTAAAAATCAAAAAGGAGTCCTACAAAAAGTGGAAACTAGGTCAAGTTATGAAAAATGAATACAAACAAAGTAACAAAAGAATGCAGGGCCAATTAAAAAGACCAAGGCAGAAAATGAGATCAAACTAGCTAGAGACATAAAAGGTAAGAAGAAAAAATTCTACAAATATATTAGAAACAAGAGGAAGACCAAGGACAGAGTAGGACTGTTACTTAATGAAGAGGGGAAAACAACGTAGAAATGGCATATTGGTTTCAGTTGTCACCAAAGTTGGTGGTGATTGGACACCTAACATAGTGAATGCTGGTGAAAAGTGAGGTAGGTGAGAAGTTAAAATAGGAAAAGAACAAGTTAGAACAAGTTAAAATTTACTTAGCCAAGTTAGATATCTTCAAGTCACCAGGGTCGAAATGCATCCTAGGAGCTGACTGAGGAAATATCTGAGCCAATCTGTATAATCTTTGAAAGTTATGGAAGTGGGGAAAGATTCCAGAAGACTGGGAAAAGGCAAATCTAGTGCCCATCTATAAAAAAGGAAAGAAGAACAAACCCAGAAACTACAGACCAGTCAGCTTAACTTCTGTGCCAGGAAAGATAATGGAGCAAATCATTAAGGAATACATTTGCAAACATCTGGAAGATAAGAAGATAAAGAGTAACAATCAGCATGG